ACGATTTATACACAAAAAAGGGAAAAATATATTTGCATGGGTAAATGTGCATAAGTTTTACTTTTATATTAACATACAACTACTTTCATCGCTTGTTCAGCTATTCGAGGTATGCCCGCTGCCGCCCGTGCTCTTTACAGGGTATACCAAAGCAGAGTTAACTGTTAACAACAATAACAAACAATGTAATGCATATGGGGCCCGGGCCAGTCCAACTGGGCACGTGAGTGAGTATTTTATTATTTTTTTGGTTATCGGTGCCCGCATTTGTTTATAGACTCGGAACGGAGAACTCTTTTTAGGGTTTCGTCGCTTGTCGCTGGCTGCTGGGCGCCTGTTGCCCACTCAAATAATCGATCGCAAATTATTTATTGATTTTTGATTGATGAGCCTCAGGTGATTTACGCAAATGTATGTGAGGCCCCCCTATTGTGGCGCTGCGTGGATATTTCGGCGCCAAACAAAGCTCATCTGACTTCTGTCCGTTTGGGGCGGATTAGTTAGCTTTGCTGATGCGGCTAACAGCAATGCGAAGAGGCAGAGATCGAGCTGTGCGGTGCCGTGCCATGCCGTGCCGAGTGGAGTCAAACAGCCGCAGCAATTCAGGTTGAATTTGAATAATATTATCAGGTTGCAAGAGCCCCACCAGCTGTGACAGCCGAATTTGATAAGCCAGCGCTATCGCTACATATGTAAATTATATGACGCATTCGTAATAAATACTTTGTTGTCAGTTCTATTTAGATTTATTTGTTTATTATACTCGATCTATAACAAAACATAGAAAAAATAACTGGCTAAAAGAAAAACACTTAACAGCTACAGATATAAGCGCCTACTACCGGAGAGGTCTCGTTAGGAAGGTTATTATATATGTATATGTAAATTTCTATATTTTTTGTATCTTTTTTTTACTTTTTCTCTTGTATTTTTGTATATTTTTTTTTTTATAATTTCTTGTCAATTGTGTGAACTTAATTCGTAGCAAAACTTATTCTATATACTTAAATAATTATTGTTTCTCATATACTCGTAAAATGTATGTTTATAAAAATCCCGCCTCAAAAAATATGCAATATAATAAGTACAAAACACATGCCCCAAAAGTATGCAACATCATCCATGTTCTTCTTCTACTTGCGACTGCCTTTGCGCCTCAAATGATGTCGCGTCGTGGCCGCTGCCAGGGCAACCGCCGCCTGCGCTGCCGCCGTCAGATACCCTTCGGCGCAGCGCGTGGGCCAATTCTAGGATTCGTAGAGCAAGCGTTGATAATGCGGCAACACCTCATGCATTGGCACATGCAGACTGAACTCGAGCGCCACAAGCACGGCAAACTCCGACGATATCAGTTCCTTACGATTCAAACGAAACACACTCTCCGTCTTCTCAATCAAACTCTTCAGAGCATCGCCCTTGACATCGTTCATCTTGGCGCTGAGCAGAAGACAGGCGCCGGCACACAGCTTGCGATTGCTCTTATTGATCAGATTGGCTAGAATTAGCTTCTCGAAATAGACATAGGCCTGCGATATGGTCACCAAATCGATGCGCGAATCCAGTTTATTGATGCGTCTCATCTCCCTCTTGATGCTGTGAAATGACATAAAGTTATTTTTCTCTGGAGAGTTTAGCAGATCAAAAATACCTTCTCAGTTTACTTAAGGTCAGCTGTATGGTTGGAAACTTTTCACGGAACTTATCGTTCAGCTCCTTCTTCAGATCCGATGGGCGCACATAATCAATGACCGAAGTCATGTACGAGGTGAAGGTTAACAATGTTCGATGCTTGCCCGCTATTAACTCTGGATCATCTAGAATGCTTGCCGAATACTGTTGATACTATGAGAGAGAGAGAGACAGATTTATAATATAATATATACATAGTTTTGATAAGATTGTACTTACAGGCAAACCGCGACCCCCATCTGTTCCACTAAGTATCATGCTCTCCATATCCATATCGAGTTTCATCTCGGGTGTTGGACTAGCTGTGGTATTATTACGATTGTTGTTCTCATAGGTGAAGCACCTGTAAAATGCATCGATTATTGATTATAGTTATATCGTATGATATGCTGTATGTATATAGATATATATATCAATATTTATTGTTGATCTATAAGAGGCGTGAGTAAGCGGTTTAGTTGAAAGCGTTTTAGCCAGTTTTCGAATGTGTGCAAATGTGAAGTGTGAATTTTGTTAGTGGTAACTACTCTATATAGTATAGATACAACGGATATTTGAAAGCCTTCACAATCCATCCAAGCTATGAATTATCTATGTATATAAATGCTAATATATATTTAGCAATTCATAGCCGAGATAGCTGTGATTGTTTTTGGATTTGATTTTTGTTATTTATTAGCTGCTTCAAAAATTTACCATTTGCCTTGATGTTTGGTTATGGTTTTTGTGCTGAAACGAAGTAGTGCAAAGCGTTATGATTAGCAAAAAACAGTTAATGGTACAAAATGCGTCGAAATTCTCCTTTTTGTATACAGTTATTATATATACATATATATACTAGATATAAGATTATATTTTGTTGATTATGTAAAGTATTACGTAATCATAAAAAGGTAAAAAAAATACATATTTAAAAAAAACACCTGAATCATATTGGTATGCTCGCTCATAAGGTAAAAAATGAGTATATTGGCTTTTTGGTATGCCTGTTTATGTGCTTATATAGGCTCGCTTTATAGACTATATTAAATTGGCTTGGGCATCATATAATACTTTTAATTATTTTTAGCATTTGATTCTTACATCTTCCATAGCTACCTATCAATGGCTTTACAGGTAGCATCAAACAGTTTTATTATATAATCAGCAAGTTCCCTACTTGGTTATTATTTCATAATCAAATCGAACTATGAACCTAAAAATATGATTAATAATCCTAAAATAAAACAATTTTAATAAATGTAAATAGCTATTTTGTTTTTTTGAATCATCATCAAGTATTAGGCAGTCGATCACAGCCGACTGCAATATTCTCTCTTGCTTTTCGCTGATTTATTTCGAATGCCCATGACTCAGTCTGTAGCCCCAATATATTTATTATAGAATTTTGTGCACTCAGCGAATAAAAATTATGTTCTTCACCTGATATTTGAGCTTTAGCTGATATTTATATTTTGCACATTTGACAAAAGTATTTAACAAGCTGATTATTTGTTTTTTTTTTTCTCCTTACAAGAAGTTATGTAAATAAATTGGATTATAGTCGTTAAATTGATTTTAAAGCTGTTTTTTATAGAATTACATATGCATACTTATGGATGAAGGGATATGGATCGAATTTTGGCATAATGTTTCGAAATAGTTAATTAACATTTTAATGAACCAATTAATAATGTTTGTGATATGGATGAGACATGAGTTCAATTTTAATCATAATGCGTTTATGGTAATGGAGAATTATGGTACAGGTAAATGAAAGATTCGTTTTGAATGAGGCACCAACCTCGCTATGCCATGATTTCTGAGAGCTGCTGTGCTCGTTATCTCCATTTGATTCTCGAATACAGAGGGAGTGGTCGAGGCATTGCCGTGTTTCTTGCGGTCCTTCTCATATTGACGCGATGGCACCAGCAAGTGTCCATAGGAAATATCCTAAGAAATAGATCACAGATTTTAATTAATTCGCTTAACTTGATTGATATTTGGCCACAGAACTAACCTGACCACTTTCAGCTTTCTTTATGCCTAGCAAATCGAAGGGATCGAAGGGAGCATCGTTAATGGAGCTCAAGGGGCGAGAAGTGGATGGATTGCGACGTCGACGATCCTCCTTACGTATCTCGGCACTAGATCGTCATGCAGATATATGTATTAATATCAATTTCTATTTTCTAATTCTTTATGATCGTTTACTTACCGTCCATTCTTGCCCTTGTAGTACGGCAATGCTGAGAATATAAAAAATGGCACCTTTTGTGATACCAACAAAATGCGCTCATTACGTTGTCCCAGTCCCACACCCGGAGCTCGACGTCCATCAGTGATGTGCACGGCTTTGCCGAGACTATTGCGAAAACTGCCAGTGGCAGGGGCCAAGCTCTCAGTGCTGCTGTCATCCGTTATGTGACTGGCACTCGAACCGCTACGAACATTGTAGTTGCGTTTCAGCCCGCCAGATGCAATGAGTCCGGCATTGCTTCCTCGCATTCCAGGCGCAGTATTCAGACGGGCACGTCTCTCCGGCTGCAAGCTCTGTTCACTAGCTCCATTGCTGAAGGTTCTGCAATCGAGAATGAGGGTTGAAAATGAGAATTAAGAATACAAAAATCATTGGGTTACTTTATTTACTTATGCATGTATAAATGATCTTAAATGACGAGCCTCAAATGCAACAATGAGCGTATATTCCCCTCTACTCACTCACTCATGATTACTCACTCACTCGCTCTCCATTCAAAATCCCTTTTATATTGCCACACATCAGTTTGGGTATATTTAACGGCGCATCATAATTCCCCATTCGCTCACTGGCTCTTCCTTCAAAATACCAGCAGTAATTCGGGTATATTTAACGGCGCATCACAATTTCCCTTTCTCTCGCACGCATCATAATATCCCATTCTCTCACTGGCTTCCCCTTCAAAATACCCACAGCAGCTTGGGTGCGTTTAACGGCGCATCATAATATCCCATCGCCGCTCCCTCTCGCTCTTTTTTTCTTTAAATAGCAGCATACAGAAGATGCACGCACACACCCCAAAGAGGTGATCGATATTTTCACAGGCTTGCAGCAAAGAGCAGTCCAAAGAAATTTTGTCAATACGATCGAGACTCACACTGGCATACATACATACATACATATATACACACACATACACATGACGTCGGCATTCATAGATCGTTGTTTATTGTTTGTCGTGCGTTTTTCGTAGAAAATAAACATCGAGTTTGTATTTTTTTGACTGCAACTGCAGAAGGGCATCTTGTTGTTATATATTTCTGTGCGCCTGCTCAATTACCTTGAGATAATTGGTATAGATCGAGGTTACGCTCCAGCTCCAGCTACAGCAAAGGGCTCCAACCATTGGCACCTAAAATCACGTACACAAATTTCCGTGAAAATAGCGTTTGCATTAATTAGGGAACTCGCTCAAGGGGGGACCCATACCCATAAGCAATATGATGAAGTGGCGCCAAGCCTGTCATAACCCGTTAATTAGTTGGAGTATTCGAATAGGCGCCCAGAAATGCCAGCAAGCAAACGCTACACACAGCAAATGTGTGGAGCTAAAGACCAAAGGGAAGACGGAACGCCAAAAACCACGCACACATGCTTACGCACACGCACACGCATGTCTATTATGTTATTTACATGTTTACATGGAATTTAAATGCTCAACAAACTGCAGCTAAAGGCAGAGAAGAAGAAGAAGCAGAAGACATTTCCAAAAGGGCACGCAGTAGAAAACATACGACGACGCGTCCGTCGTCTTGTGTAACTTATCGACTCTTCAAATAATAAGCGAGCTCATGCGTGAGCATGTGTATGTGCGTGTCTGTGTGTTTGTGTTTGTGAGTGCGAGCACAACAATACGGTATTTAATGCGATGATTAGAAGCAACTGGGAGAGAAGAGTAAAGCCCTAGAAGAGAGACGAATGCAACGCCCACAAGTGCGTGTCATAGTGCAAGTGGTAGACTGACTGACTCTCTCTTTCCCTCTTTCTCACACTAGCTCGGTTTTTGGGCATGTGTGTCTGTGTGTGTGTGTGTGC